TATCTCGGGTAGAATTCTGATCAGGCATTAGCTCCGCCTCCTCTTTTTTTTTCTCAAGCTAAGGACCCACAATCAGCCTTTCTCCAACAGCTGGGTACGTGGGATTTCTAAAATGCATGATCTGTTTGTATTTTCAAAAAAACACATCATAGACATGTTTTTATATATTTATATATCTGAGACCCATAATATATGCCTAAAAATAGCATGATAGGAGACCTTTAAAACCTTGTTTAACTCTGAACAGATTATTAAANAAAAAAACACATCATAGACATGTTTTTATATATTTTATATATCTGAGACCCAAAATATATGCCTGAAAATAGCATGATAGGTGACCTTTAATATTTATTGTGTTAGATTTCAGCGCTTCATGGAAGAAACACAAATGCTGTTTGTTTGTGTATTTAATAAAAAACTAAAATACAGCAAGTGGACAGTCGCACCTCAGAAATATATAAGAAATACTTCACAACCAAAACCCTCATCGGTTACCCCCGATGTATTTAGATAAGTTAGAGTTAGTTAGAGCTGGTTAGTAGCAGCGTTTCCGCCAGGGGGCGTCTTGCCGTCATTTGAGGCCCTTATTCAGCTCGGGACGTCCTGAACGCGAGCCGAGGGCGTCCAAAAATATTAATAATTCGAGAGAAGATCGAGAGTTTTTATCACTTGAAATGACGAAAAGGACAAGGACATCCCGCTGCTGGAGGGGCAAAGGAGTCTGGTGGGATTCTTTTCTGAGTATTGAAGATCGTTTCCCCGACATCGAAGGTGCCTGCTACAGGACAACACGGAACGTGCGCGATTTGGACGCGATGAGCTGGGGGCTTTTAGTGGAGCGCGCGTGAGCTGCGAGCACCAGAGCCTGGCAGCGGCGAAACTGAGGCTCCGTGGTAAACTGTGGAAACATGAAGAGCCGTTTGAAGTGCCGTTTGGGAGCCGTTTGGGAGCCGAAACAGCCGGCGCTTTAAGAGAGCCGAGCCAAATGATCCGGCTCACTAATGTAAAAATACAGTATCTATAAGGGACGGCTCGAGTCAAAATTCAAAACAACCCCCCCCCTTGGACGCCCTCTCAGCCCTGGTCTGGCGGAAACACTGCTTATATAGGTATGGTCCTACACTATATTATTCAAATATAGCATGATAGGTCCACTTTAAGGAAAGTCTTTTCTTCAGAGGAACTTAATCATTTCTGTCCCGCAGACTGCGGAGATTCTGCTTGTCTCGTAGTAAGGAAATCATCTGGTTCAACACCTCTGTCAGTCTATTAATAAACACCTAACTCAAATTGGGACACGGCAGATGAGCTTGACAAGACTGTTATGCAACCTGAACCCCTGACCTCAGATTCGAAGGACAGCGTTGTTGTTTGGAGACGATACAGTATGCACCAAGTGTCTAATAATTGCACCTTTACTTCTTGTGTGCTGGAGAAGCAGCAGAAAAAGATGAAATCAGCCGCTGAAATTGCTCAGTAGCCTATTTCCAGACGTATGAGACAGAATGAATGTTTTCACTACAATGGAGACGCTTGTCTGAGAGCGTGCGATGCTCAGTTCAGTCGGCTGTACTGGGAGACCATGATTTAGAAAGACAGGAGGAGTCACAGTGTTGGCAGACTTTACTAAAAATCCCTGATGGAAGATAATGACCTTTTGCTGGTTAATGTAGCAAGTATATTTGCTGTTGCATTGAAGATAATATCATCCTGGCATCGTTGTTTTCATGAAGCAACTTTGCATGTGTCTCCATTATTTGCACTTTTTTACAATTAAACAAATTCACCTGTTTGTCCTTCCCAGGCTGTTTGACTTTCCCAGGCTGCTGCTGTTTGCTATACGTTCATTTAACAACAAAACAGACTTTTTTATTCAGTGTTCAAGTCGCTGGTCCCTAAATTTAAAGCCCACTTTTACAACCTTTTAGCTCAGCAGAATTTCCTTTTTACGCCATAAAGCGGCATGACTGAGTCTTTTTGTATTACAAATGAAATCTAAGAATACTGTATGTATAACGTGGGCCCCACTTACAAAATAGAAAGACTGTAAGGTGATGCAATGCGCTCTCTGGTGCAGCTTTTGGCAACATGTTAGAACAGCTGATCAGATTACAATTTATTTACAACTTGGCCGCATCAACCATATTCTTTAGACAATGAGATGTGAGAATTTCTTGACTCATTTTTATCAATGAAATGTTTTGTTAGTGAATGGCTTGTAGGTCATGCCTCAGTTGTCTTAATGTGGTACAAACCATGTTAGTGGGAGTGTGGATTACAAACAGAATTGAATATAGATAAATGTTCCTGTCTCAGCTGAAAGAAATCCTAATTTGGAAAGTATATGTTTTCCTTTGCTTGCATCTCATTCATTGTGTGTCTTTTTGTACACATAAAATATGAATGGACATCAGACCCCCAAGGGACTCTCTACTCTATATCTACTCTAATGATCTCTAACAACAAAATGTAAAATGACATTTGTTATTGAATTTGTCTACAGTACTTTATAATTCAAGCCTTTTGTTTTGTAACGTGAAATAAATGGTTTGTCTGATTCTAATACTTTACGTCTGCTCTGACTTCAGCCAACCTGACGGGCCACGTGGAGAGAGTGGGCATTGAAAACTTTGAGCTGTTGAAGGTGCTTGGCACAGGAGGTGAGTGACACGTTAAATTGTATGTTAACCACAATGTGACATTTACATGATAGTGTTCATGCCATGTGTTTCTAGAATGATCAGCATGTCATAGCAGTCATTCCTGCCTTTTTTGCACTGACCTTTGCTCTCTGTCTTTGTTTATTTTAACCACCAGCATATGGCAAGGTGTTCCTGGTGAGGAAAGTGAGTGGCCATGATGCAGGGAAGCTGTACGCCATGAAGGTTTTGAAGAAAGCCACAATTGTACAAAAGGCAAAGACTGCTGAACACACACGCACGGAGCGGCAGGTGCTCGAACACATCCGCCAGTCTCCGTTCCTCGTCACACTTCACTATGCCTTCCAGACGGATACCAAGCTGCACCTCATTCTCGGTTAGACTTTCTTAATAGGAAACTGCCTTCTGTGTTATGTTTATCAAGAAAAATAAAAGGTTAATGATTGTCTTATTGAAGCCATATTATTTGATGGAAACATGACATGCATGATATCATCTCTTTTTTAATAGATTATGTAAACGGTGGAGAGCTCTTCACACATTTGGTGCAAAGGGTGCGATTTAAGGAACAAGAAGTTGCCCTGTACAGTGGAGAGATTGTGTCAGCGCTGGAACATCTACACGAGGTCATTCATAGATTCTACACAACCAAGGCCTCTTGTATGTTCAGGAGTTGTCTATTGATGGTTACTCTTTTCTGTTGCACTTACCCTTCTGTCTTTTTATTGTTGCAGCTTGGCATTGTCTACCGGGACCTAAAACTTGAGAATATTCTGCTGGATTCAAGTGGACATATAGTTCTCACAGACTTTGGCCTCAGTAAGGAATTTGATCAGGTACAGTATGTCTCAACCGTACGTTTAAATACCCATTCATCCATAAACTGATGACCCCAAGAGAACAGAAGAAGAAGATTCTCTCCTAAACTCTTTTAACATTAAATATATATATATTTTCCCAAACTTTCACTTAATTGGTGCTCATGTAGTCAAGGATTATAATGGTTCCCTGTTGAAAAGTCCTTAAAAAAACGAATAAAAGTGATGTTTTTTATTCAGTTTTTATCACCAAACGATATTAATTATATCCTTGAGATCAAACGAACGTGATGAATCCATGTCCTTCCTCATAAAACACATTTTTCTTTAAAATACGTCAGATGTAAAATCAAGTTTTTCAGGGTCTTCAATCTTGAACTGTTGTCAGACAGTCCACTCCATTTTCAATAAAACCACGTTTTTTTGTTATGTTTAGATTTTTAAAATGAGTCTTTTTTTTTTTGTGCATTTGTGAACACAGATGGAAAGAGCGTTTTCTGTCTGTGGCACCATTGAATATATGGCTCCAGAAATAGTGGAAGGTGGAGAGTCTGGACATGACAAGGTAAGATGTAGTTTTAGCAGCCTAAATTCTCCTCTCTGTATTCCCGCAGTGAGGTTTTTCTTTTAGCGTGTTAAGCTTAAGTCACGGGTGGTTGCTTTCATTCATTCCAGGCGGTGGACTGGTGGAGTCTCGGCGTTTTGATGTACGAGCTTCTGACTGGCGGATCCCCCTTCACCGTGGATGGAGATGAGAACTCGCACACAGACATCGCCAAGTATGGATTCTCCCTGATCATCAGCCACAGTTTTCGTCTTTAATTATTATTATTATCACTGACCATGTCTGTCTCACGCATCACAGGAGGATTTCAAAAAAGGATCCTCCTTTCCCCAAAGATATGGGACCTCTGGCCAAAGACCTCATCCAGCGACTCCTCATCAAAGACCCCAAAAAGAGATTGGGCTCAGGCCCTAAAGGAGCGGAGAATATAAAAAAACACCCATTTTACCAGGTGGGTCTCATTGCTTGTCTTGGATATTTCATAATATTAAAAGAAATCTATGTAACAGAGTGGGCTGGTAATCTACATAATGGGGCTGCTTTAAAGTGCAACCATCATGCTATTTTTAGGCAATAGCATAGGTCTCAGATATCTAACAATATATAAAAAACATGTCTATGAAGTGTTTTGGTCAAAATACCTAACGGATCACCCATTCTAGCCATGCCTCATATCCCTCTATTTCACTTCCTGTTTCAAAAGTGCTGATTTTGGGTATAAAGCTTTAAAAAAAAAAAAATGTGATAAAAAAAAAAAGGGGTCTGAGCTCATGCGGGACCCGGCAGCTACCGTCTAAACTAAATACTGCCGTGATGATCTGCCATATCATGGATTATCAAGGAGTATTTCTGAAACAGTATGGAGCTCAAAGGCTTTCTCTCTTGCCGGTTATACCACAAGGTGAGTTCCTTTTTATTTCCTGCTTCTTCACACGCATGCTCTGTGCAGTACAGGTTAGCTCTGAGTGTGAGCGATGCTAATGTAAACATGCACCGACCATATTCGATGTCTGATAGCAACGTTTCTGATAGGGCCGTGGGTGTAAAGCCAGCCTACATTTCCGATATTACGTCATATCGGACGCAAATCTGGATCAGCTCCGTTGTAGCCCCGTTTTTAGAGATTTGGGTACGGAGGAAAAGAGAGGGTTTTATTTTCTGACGCTGCGTGAGTTCCCCGACACACCGGGGACACATATTTATGTATAAAAGACATCCAAAAGTGCATTTTGCATGATAGGTCCCCTTTAAGTGAAGAGCATTTAGAAAACTGTGTTTGTTTAAGCTACGTTAATAAGGATAGCGATCAACCAAAATGTATTTTTTCCAAACTCACTTTAGAAAATTAACTGGGAGGACTTGGCAGCTAAGAAGGTTCCCGCCCCGTTCAAGCCAGTGATTCGGGACGAGCTGGATGTCAGCAACTTTGCCGAAGAGTTCACAGAGATGGACCCCACCTACTCTCCTGCAGCTCTGCCTCAGAACTGCGATCGCATCTTCCAGGTGGGAGAGCGTTACAGGATGTTAGACAACCAGACTATTTTTTGTTGTGACTCATTGTTTTGTTAGCACACATACTCATTCCTCTGTGTTCTTTCAGGTCACTGCACAGGACAACATTTGTATTTCCATTTGCTCTGTGCTCATGTCTATCTGGGCTTTGATTGCAGGCAGTGTGAAATGTTGACACGGATGAAAAATTGCATTATACATTATCCACTTTTTGTCTGTGACTATATTTGACATACTCCAGCGCAATTGAAGTAATCAAGTGAAGTTTTGAATGTCCTCAAAAGGTTGCTGTAAGTCAACATGAGACTGTCTGTGTGCACTGGTATTCAAATTGACTAAAGAGGCTTTTATTGAGGTAATTGCTGCCATATGCAGCTCTTATTGAAGTAACAGATGTGAATGACTATTTTTGATGTAGCTTTGAACCATAATATGGCCCACAACTCTATGCCAGCTGATGGATGTCTGATGTATTGCATGAAATTTCAACTCTGATTGCCTTCTGGATCCTTGAGCTGGGTAGATCAATAGATCCATTAACGGGCTTCTCTCGTGGAATAAAAGGTTACACTTTGAGAGCATCACCACGTCTGTCTCGGTTACGCCTTCAGTCTTTGATTGCCAACTTCATCTTGGCTTTTTTCGCACTCAGCTGCCATTCACATAGTCTGAAATTTTGTGGTCTTTATAATTTGCAAGCCTAGCAATCTCTCAGATAACGACAGCAATCCCAATTTTAAACTGTGCACTTGCTCCCCCACGGTGCCTCACAAAACAAAATTAAAATTGCATTAAGAGCGCCAAGATGTAATTTCACAGCAGAGCAATCAAATATTCAAGCCCGGCAATTTAGGGCATCTCATTCATTCACCACCCATCCTTCCGTCCATCTATTGCTGTCACTACATACCACACAGCTGTGTGTGTGTCGGGGGAAAATGGAGAGAGAGAGAGAGATTAATGCCAGCTAAAAGCTTTGGGCTCCCCACAGCTGGAATTAGGCAGGCAGCGCCTCCACAATGACAGCTCTGACAATAGGAACAGCTGGACAGCCGCTGCCACTCACTGTGGAGCTGACAGGCTGCTCCGACTTAAAGACTTGAGGAAAGATGCAAAAACAATTTTAAGTTTTACAGTAAATACGCAAATAAAAAAAATACGTGTCTATAAGTAGTGTTTGATTTCCATAGTAAGTGTGATTTGAAATGTATTTCATATTCATTCTCTTATCATTTTTTACCCAAGATCTTCCTCTATTTTTTGTGAAAAGACAAAAAAATTAAATAAAAAAATAAATTAGGTAAAAACTAAACACCAAAATATAGTTGACATTTTCTTCTACCTTGTCATTAGTGCTTTCACAGGGTGTCCGCGGGGTCTTAAAGAGTATTAAAAGTTGATAAATCAATTTAGCAAAAACGAAGGCTATTAAAAAGTATTAAACGGTATTTTCCAAGGTATTACATTTTAGCTTGTTTTCAATAAGTATATCAATTGTCCAAAGAGGTTGTATTCTACAGTCTGCCTGAATGTAATCATTGCGTAGGTGTGTAGTGTGATTCTGTGTAGTTTATTTATGGCATCCCGTTGGATTTGACGTCATCTGAACAGGACATCTCACGCTCACTGCTTGATAGCGCTCGAAGGCCCGTTTACACCGGTTGTTAAAAAACATCTTTATGGGGAAATGCAAGTCTGCGTCCAAATGGTTGGAAGATAAGGAGGAAGGACAATCAATACTGTATATAGTAACTGTGAGGTAAAGTGTGTCGCCAAGGTAACCGGTTAAAACTCCAAGTGGCGATGAGGTCTTAAAATGTATGGAAAGGGTCTTAAAAAAGGTCTTAAAAAGTCTTACATTTGACTTCAGGATTCCTGCATATACCCTGTTTCATCATTTCAAGTAAAAATACTAATGAACAGACTCTATAAATGTCTGTAATACATTAGATAAAGTTTAATCAGGCTCTTACTGAGGCTGCAGAACTGGATGTACTTTTCTCTCTGTCCTTATAGTCCTACCCTCACTTTACAATGTAACACGTAGACTTCATGTGTTTCTGTGCAGGGCTACTCCTTCATGGCCCCCTCCATCCTGTTTAAGAGGAATGTGGTGATGGACGACCATCTCCAGCTGTGTGGGGGCTCCGAGAGGCCCCGCTCTGCCGCGGTGGCCCGCAGCGCCATGATGAAGGTGAGACGGATGGACTTGGATCCTCCAGCACAAACACACTTAGGCTAATGGCTGCTGTCACAGACATGTGAGATTTCTTTCCCCTATCGTCTCCATTTCACTCAAACTTTGTTTTCCACTGTACTTGTGTTCCTCACAAATGTTTAGATTCAGCTGCCAGGCATGATCCTGTGTTTATCAGTGAATACACTGGTGTATCTGTCCAGCGTAATGTTTTCCGAGAGGCAGCTGTGCGTTGTTGTTTTGTGGGCTCACTAGGTTTCAAGCGTTTTCATCAACGTTCTGAGTAACTGCTGCAAACTTTGCTGTTTTCAAGATTTATTACCAGATTTATTACATTGGTGATGGAAACTACAATGAATCATTCTAATGATTTTCAATCCAGCCCCAAAAGGTGCAATGTTTAATTAATCAACAAAATGCTCGGCATACCAAATAGAATTTCCATGACTTGCATGCAAGCTTGGTAATAGCCTACTCCTTTTTTGGAGCTTACTCAATTCAGAAAGGGGAAGTTTAAGACGAGCAGTCGGGCAACCGTCTGCTTCAAACTCCCTAAAGCCTCAGCTCACCGTGCTAAACAGGATTTTGTGCGATTTTCTCTCTCAGGAACAGGAAGCCAGTCAACAGTTTCCTATCTTGTCTTTAAGTGATCTCTCATATTGTATCACAGATCTAGAAAATCTACATTTGCTACTTCCAGGTGTTTTGCAGATGCCTTTGAAAACATTGCACAACAAGAGAAATGTACTTGGTTCCTCATTGTTTTTCATACGCATTTTATAATCACAACATAGAATAAGCAATACTTGTGTCAGGCTGTTGTCAGTGGTTATTGAATTAGGTAAATAAGACTCCTTAGACTTCAATTTGAGAACACATGAGAGAGGACTTGTATGCCTCGCCCACATGCATTGTGTTTTTTCGTGGAGAACAAGACAACATAGGAACTCTTGAAGAAGTTCAAAGAACATGATTTGTTGTGTTTGGTTGCAGTACTGTAGTTACAGTATTTTGTAAGAAAAGATAAAAAAACAGCTGTCGAGCTTCAAAAATATTCAAATAAACAGCAAATTAATTTGATCTGCCCATGATCAAAGGAAAAGCAGTGTACTAAACATTTATATAAGTTAAACAGAAAGAACTTAGTCTCATACTATTTTTTTTTTAAATATATTTGACCAAATGTTTTCCTGTCCACTTTCTTCAGGACTCTCCTTTCTACATGAGCTATGAGATGGACCTGAAGGACAGCGCTTTGGGAGAGGGAAGCTTCTCCATCTGCAGGCGGTGCACACACAAGAAGACCGGGCAGAAATACGCAGTCAAGATTGTCAGCAAGAGGTACAATCTCACATCCTGCTCTCCTCAGATGTGTTTGTCAACTCAGATGCTGTGTGTGGCTGTGTGATGTTTATGTTCGGCTCCCTCTTTCTCTCACTGCCAGAACACATTTCTCAGCTAAATCATACACAAAAAATTAAAATAGGTGTGTTATCTTAAAACCAATGAATACAAAACAAATCTGAATTTGACTCAACTTCACCATGTAGCAGATTTTATTTGCTATATTACTCTGTTAAGGGTTGCCAGATGTGGGTTAATGAAATGTAAATACATCTGTGCTCACAAACAAGCTGTTACAAAACAAGCTTTGATCGTGTGTGTGGACTGCAGTCCTACACTACACTCCTCCACTGAGTGTGTGGCACCAAATATTATAGCTATAATAAGAAAGCACAAACAAATATGATGTTCCTGAAGACTTGTTCACACTTTTCTATCAGCACCCTATTGTTTCCTAACTATTTGTTAGTTGTAGTTTGTGCATGTCACGGTAAATAAAATCAGCAGAGCCAAACTGCACGTACGAGTTCAAATAAACCTTGTTTGCTATTTATAGAGGAATATAAAAAGGGGCGATCCTCTGTGAATTATGGGATAACACGTAAGGGATTACCTTCATGCCGATCAAGATCCCTCCGCTTCGCGTCGGGCTCCTGATCAGCCTGTCGGTGTTCTTTTCCCCATAATGACCGCGTCGCAGCACATTATCCCGCTTATTACATGGCCACATTCTCAACAAAGTAACGTTATGACTCCCACTATTAATTGAAATGCTTTTATGGATTTAGAAAATGATTTTATTGATTTAAAAAATAGTTGTATGTATTGATTTAAATTGACATGCATCCGCTAAGAAAAATAGGCCGTTGTTACTGTTTGAACTAACGTAGCAATAGCAGGAACTGCTTCGATAGCGTTTTTGAGGAGCTTTTTGATTACAGATTTGAAAACATTGCTGCTTGCTTTAAAAGTAGCACAATTCATTATGTCAAACCTTGGAAAGTATCTAGATATCCCTGCCCTAATGCCAAAGTAACTGGCAACTGAATATGTGTCGCCGTTTCATGTCTATGTGTGGACCGTTTTGTAAAAAGGAGGATTTCTGCCCGTTACTTCTCCGCTGTTTTCTTGTCGCTCTTGTCTTTTCAGTTAGAAAACCAAACTGCTGTATTAAGTTCAATCGAACGGTCTTGTTTGTGTAGATGTGAGCGTCCTTAACAACGGTCAATAAGTCCTTGACAGCGGTCTGTCTGTTCGGTATTAACAACGTGTCACGTGTTCTGAATTGACCAATCAGAATCGAGTATTCAACTAAGCCATGTAATAATGGGCATTAGAGAATGACAACCCCACACAACCTACTGTCAAAAGATTATATTTGACAAAGTAGAAAATGAATGGGTGATATTCTGTTCCCTTTTTTAAAATCCTACTTTTGCACATTATTTTTACAGGCACACTTAATATAATAATTATTAAAACTGCAGAGTGGCTTGTGGCAATTGAAAAAAACCTATAAAAGGAAACAGAACTGGGCCACGTTCTCACTCTACTGCGTATGTGTGTATTTATGTTCTATTCTGTGACAGTTCTCTGGCTTCCTGCTTGTGTTTGCTGCAGGATGGAGGCGCAGACTCAGCGGGAAATAGCAGCCCTGAAGCTCTGCGACGGCCACCCTAACATTGTCAAGCTACATGAAATCTACCACGACCAGGTAATCTACATTTACAGCCATGAATTCTGTTTTGCATGGCTCTCTGTGGAGCCCTTAATAAGTCCTGGAACTGGAACAAGGCAGATTAATAGGGAGGTCTATCTTTATCTCTCCTTTGTATTGTCCCATAAACATTTCTCCGTGTGCCCGATATTTCACACCAAACGTATTTATAAACTGCAGCTGTACAGTCCCCCATTCACACCGCTGAATAGAAACAACCTAGATTTACTTGTGTTGCTAATCGAGCCGTACACTCCAACCAAACTAAGTGTGTTGCAAATGTAGCTCACCCGGGTTATTGGGAAGGTGGACCGTGTGGCTGACTGTGTACAGGTTCATTATCCCCGCTCCTTCAAACCCAGGAGCACCACTTTAGTCCTGATGAGCTCAGTGGGGTTATTACTGTACCTCGGAGGCCTGTGACCCAGATCAAAGCCTCGCCTCAACGCAGTCCTGCCTTTGTTCCCCAGACTGAGCGCTAATGAGAAACTCTGCCCCAACGCCCAGACACATTATTCCCTTCCCACTTTGTTTGGCCCCTTTCACTTTCACTCAATGCTATCGTTTGATTTCACCATCATGGCATCAAGGATGGGCTGTTTTTGCTTTATTTATTATGCAACAAAAAGTTCTCATCCATCATTTCACATGTTAAGATTTCGTTGTGCAGCAAGCTGTGAAAGAAAGATTGAAAATATATATATATATATAAAAAACCACACAAAAATAGTTAGGATGGTTTGTTCTACTTTAGAAAGGGTTCTTACGGTCATTAAAAACCTGGAAAAGTCATGGAAATTCAAAATGCTAATTCCAGGTCCTGGAAAAGTTATGGAAAACAATATTTTTCCCAAAGTTTTGGAAAAATCATGGAAATTTGCATCAAATATAATTTATATTTGATCTAATCGCCGAAATAGTAATACTATAATGATAATAAATACTGTATCGTAAGTAATGAAACATAAATGGCATTTAATTGTAGAGGTATTTTGCTGGTGAGAGATTTTTGTTGCTTTAGCGTGTAGAAGCTAGTAAGCCTACTATTTGATTTGTTTTAGATAGGCACAACATGTTTCATATGCAGACCTTCATTTTCCTGTTCCCATGTTAAAGATAAACAAATTTCAGTGCGGTACGCTGAGAGAATTTTTTTTGTCATCGGAAATTCAGGTTAAAGGTCATGGAAAAATCATTGAAACAATCATTGGTGAAGAAAGTGTATGAATCCTGTTTAGAGCATCTTCAAAGAATAAAGGTTGTACATTTAACTGAAATGTTTTGTGTGTGTTTTCTCTGCAGCTCCACACGTTCCTGGTTCTGGAGCTGCTGGGTGGAGGCGAGCTGCTGGAGAGGATCCGCAGGAAGCAACATTTCAGCGAGACAGAGGCGNCGCCATTGTATTTGTTGGCATTAGCATTATTAGCATTAGCATTAGCCCCGCGCACCAACGGAGGGAGAATAACTTATGGCAACACAAAAAAAAGTGATGAGGAGGTTTCGGCGCTTCTGGCGATTTACTCGGAAGGCTTCACTAGAAGCAGCTGGGANTTTGAATAATATAGTGTAGGACCATAAGACATATTTATACTTTTTATTTTTCAAAATACCAAACAGATCATGCATTTTAGCCATTCCTCATTTCGCTCATTGAGCGAAATGAGGAATGGCTAAAATGCATGATCTGTTTGGTATTTTGAAAAATAAAAAGTATAAATATGTCTTATGGTCCTACACTATATTATTCAAATATAGCATGATAGGTCCACTTTAAACAAAAATCTGGAGGTGTAGAGTTACAATGAGCTTTCCAGATAAGACACAATGTTCACATTTCTGTCAATAGTGTTTAATAACATCTAAGTTAACTTTAAAAGGTTGGGAAACACTGCTTTGAAGGGCCAGCTTCACTCAAATTACAGTTTTTATAGGATTTGTTGTGTGAAACAAAGCAATTTTTATGAATATGTCCACACTACGGGGTGTGGATTATACACATTAATTCTGAAAAAAAAATATTTAGTTTTTATTTTAAATTGTTCAGTGCTGAGAGCATCACAAACAGCACTTGTACTATAAAATACTGGATGTATTTATGGAATTTG